GTGACGGATGATGATGATCATAAGGATACGAATAATGCTGATTATGGTGATGCAGATGATGATGTTGATGGTGATGATGTGGAGTGTGTTGGTGATGGTGGCTGTGATGACGATGTTGGTGGGGATGCGGGTAATGTTGATGACGCTGATGATGCTGATGTCGTTGATCATGTTGATGGTGGTGGTGATGATTGTGCTCAGGACGTTGATTATGAGGATGGTGATTCGGATGCAGGTAATATAGTGGTGATGAGGATAATGATAATGAGGATGATGATGATGATGATGATGATCATGGTGATGAAGATGATGATGTTGATGATGATGATGCTGTTCAGTATGTGGATGATGGTGGTGGTGATGATGATGCTGATGAGGATGGTGATGCGGATGAGGATAGTGATGATGATACTGATGATGATGATGCTGATGATGATGACGTTGATTAGGTTGGTGATGGTGGTGGTGATGATGCTGATGGGGATGATGATGAGGATGGTGATGCGGATGCAGACAATTACGATTGTGGTGATGAGGATGATGATGATGACGACGATGTTGATGATGACGATTCGGATGATTATGTCTATATGGTGGTTGTGATGATGATGATGATGATGATGATTATGCGGATGATGATGATGCTGATCATGATGATGCTGATGATGATGCTGATTATGTTGATGATTGTGGTGGTGATGATGATGATGAGCAGCGTAATGATGATGATGAGGATGAGGATAATGATGATGGTGGAAGTGAGGATGCTCATTTTGATGATGATGATTTTGATTCTGTCTATATGGTGGTGGTGATGATGATGACGAGGCTCGTGATGATGATGCGGATATGTTGATGATTATGGTGCTGATCATGTTGATGCTTGTGGTGGTGGTGCTGATGAGGATGATGATGATGAGGACCAGGATATTGATGATGGTAATGGTGATGATTATGATGATGTATGTGATGATGATGATGAGCATAATGATGATGCTGCTGATTATGATAACGATGCTGATGATGATCGTGATATTGTTTGTGTTGTTGACGGTGGTTGGGATGATGATGAGGATGATGATGAGGTTAAGGATGTATATGTTGATATTTATTATGTTGATACTGTTGATGTTGATCATGTTGATGGTGGTGGTGATGATGATGGTGAGGTTGGTGATGAGGACTCTGTTGATAATGAGGGTCATAATGATGGTCATGGGGAGGGCGCGTTTCACGGGCGCTTGCCTTGGGAACATCTGGTGCCGCGTTTCGAACCGGGGGGTGGGCCCCCCACCCCCAACACTCGGCGACGTCGATCAGAACCAGGGGGACCCCCCTCCCCCCTAACCCGCCCCCCTCCCGAACCCCTCCGCCCTTCCAGGGGGGGGGTGTCCAACCACCCCCCCCCTCCCGGAGCTGGCGCCGGCGCCGGCGCTGGCGGCCGCTAGCAGTGCCGACGGCGGCGACGCAGCGACGATGACCAGAAAGGGCCCAGGGGGAGGGGGGGGTGGCGGTCCAAACCTCCCCGCCCCCCCCGCGCCGGCGCCGGCGCCGGCGCTGGCGGCGGCCAGCAGCGCCGACGGCGGGGACGCAGCGACGACGACCAGAGAGGGCCCAGAGGCCGCAGAGGGAAAACACAAATCGCCATATCGAGCCCTCGCCCCCCAGAAGCCACCGGGAGGCCCCTAGGAAGGTCCACGAGGCTGCACACATGCTCCTCAGACGCCCCGAGACCCTTCCCTTCTGACGAGACCTCACGAGGCACCCATTAGAACTCTGACCCAGAGCCAAAATACGGTGGCGGGAAGAGCCGAAGGCCACGCCACCACCACTACCACAAACCACCACAAACCACCACCACCGCCACCACCACCACCGCAACCACCACAACACACCACCTCCACCACAACCACCACCATCACCACAAACCATTACACCACAACCACCAAAAACGCCACCACCACGAGCACCAACAAAATCCACCATAACCCACCACAACCACCACCACCGCCACAGACCACCACACCATTACCACCACCATCGCCACCATCGCCACCACCACAATCATCGCCACAACCCACCGCCACCACAAACCACCACAACACCACCACCACAACCACCACCACAACCACCATCATCACCCACCATCCACCATTCACCACCATCACCACCAACGCCGCTATCAGCAACACCACCGCCACCACCAATACCACATCCCACCACCACCACAGACCACCACGCCACCACCACCGCCGCTACCACCACTGCCCTCATCACCATCACCTCAAACCACCACCACCACCAAACCACCGCACAACTACCACCACCGCAGCCACGACCACCACCACAACAAATCACCACCACCACCACCGCAATAGCTGACCACCACCACCATCACAATCTACCACACCACCACCGCCACAACCAGCGCCCTTATCAGCAGCGCAACCCACCACCACCACAAACCACTACACCACCACCACCGCCGCCACCTCCACCACCACCAGTACCACCTCTACAAACCACCGCAACCGCCACCACCACCACAAACCACCACGCCACAACCACCACCACCATTGCCGCCGCCACCACCACAAACCACGACAACGCCACCACAAAACCACCACCACCACCACCGCCACCACCCACCACCACCACCACAACAAACCACCACACCACCACCACCGCAACCACCAACACCACCATCACCACGACCCCCCACCACCGCCACCACAAACCACCACGCCACCGCCACCGTAACCACCACCACCACCACCACCCGCCACCACAACCACCGCCACCACAACAAACCACGACAACCACCAGGACCACCACCACCGCCACCACCACCACCACAACCCACCACCACCACAACCACTGCCGCCACCACAACCACCACGACAAACCACCACACCACCACACCACCACCACCGCCACCACCATAACCCACCACCACCACCACAACTACCACCACTTCCACCAGAAACCACCGCACCACCACCACCGCCACCACCACCACTACCAGTACCAGAACCTGCCACCACAACCACCACAACAACCACCACCTCCACCAATCACCACACCACCACCACCACCACAACCACCACCGCTACCACCTCAGAAAGGCCCCAAGAGACGCCCAAGAAGCGACCAGGAGGCTTCAGAAATGCCCCTCAGAGGCCCCCGAGAGCCTTCCGACAAGACCCAAAGAGGCATCCATTAGGACTTTGACCCGAAACCGAGGCACGGTGGCGGAGCGTCGTCGTCGTCGTCGTCGTCGTCGTCGTCGTCGTCGTCGTCCTCGTCGACGCCCCGCCGCCGACGCCCGCCGCCGCAGGCGCCGGCGCCGGCCCAGAAAAGGAAGTCGTCGTCCCCGCCGCCGCCGCCAGCCGCCGCCGACATAAGCGCCGGCCCGAGGAAAAGGAGAGGACAAGTAAGGGAGGAGTGGGGGGGAGGGGGAAGGGGGGAGGTTCGACGTTGGTGATTATTAGGTTGATACTGCTTATGTTGGATTGATGGTGGTGGTGATGATGATGATGATGAGCAGGCTGAGCAGGATGATGGCGATGACGATGATGATTGTTATGATCATTGTAACGGTGATGGTAACGTCGGTGGTGATAATGATATGTGTGATGATGACGAAGATGGCAATGGTACTGCTGCTGCGGATGTTGATGATGCTGATGGTGATCCAGAGGGTGTTAATGCGGGTGATGATGCGGATGGTATTGATGATGATGCTGGTGATGATGCTGATGGTGGTGGGCAGGAAGAGGGTAGTGAGGTTGAGGCGGATGATGATGCTGATTTTGATAATGAGGATGCTGATGACGATGCTGATGATGATGGTGATGATGACGATGATGATGATGATGACGGTGCTGGTGACGATGATGATGATCGGGGCCGTGCTATACATGACGTCCCTCCGCGCTTCCACCTTGTGGTGCGCCTCGCATTGGCGCTATGCAAGCACGCGTGGGTTCTGACAAGTCCGCGCTTGCACAGCGCGGCCCTCGAGAGAACCATACAACTCACCCTCACCGACGCAGCGGCCTGACCGCATGCACCGATAGCCGCGCGCGAGGGGAGGGTCAGGGCAGCTGCGCACCCAAGTTGGCAGCATGCCATCGTACCACCAGGCGATGTCGCGCGCACGCCAGGATCGTCAGTTTATGGCGCGGCTCGGCAGTCGCGACAGCCAACCGCCGACGCCGTGCAACCACTGGCACACATCGGGCACGGCACGGCAGGTGCGGCATCCTTCTGCCGACGCCGTGCTTGACTTTCAACTGCTGCTGCGCTGCTGGCTGGGCGGGCGCCGCGCACATAAGCGAGGCCGATGCAGCTCCGCAAGGGTGCGCTATCGCCCTGCAAAGTACGCGCCCCCCCTCCCAGCAATAGGCCCGCTATTCGGTTCATGAAGAGCAGGGAGGACGCTCCCGTCTCCGCGACCGCCATTGCGGCTCTTCGCATGGGGGCAGGCGGCGCGGCAGCAGCGACACAGGCAGGCAAGCGCGCTGCCGAGGCTGAACCTCAGCCCCCAGGCGGCCAGACACAACAGGTCTCAGGCGGTTTGTCGCGGCCTCCTGCGTTGTTGACCGGATGAAGAAGGAGGCCGAGGAGACCGTGCGGAGGAAGACGATCAGCTTGCGCAGCAGCCCCACCACTGCCCAGGGCAGGCGGCCAGCTTGCAAGGCCGCGCGACGAGGGCGACACAAGATAAGCTTGGCCAGGATGAGGATTGCACGGGTTGCCGTCAAGACGGCGTAGCACGACACCGTGCCATCCCGTGCAGATCCCCAAGTTGATGGCGCTTGCACTGAAGACCATCACCTTGCTGACGCTGCGGGCTGAGCGGGCAAGGCGGCGCAGCTGCCAGGAGAGGAGGGTGATGGGCATGGCGAACCCGAGAGCCCCGTGAACGCAGTGATTACCTTAGCACGACCGCAATCAGCGGCGCAATGAGGGAGCCCACGAAGAGTGACGCGATATTACTACACGATGGGCAACATGACACGGTGGACGAGCGGCATGACGCCCAGCAGTCTTTCGACGGCGGCGCTCCTGACCAGCACGCCGAAGCCGAGCAGCACCGCGAGGGCGGCCGCACCTCCAGCCTGGCCGATGGCGAGCACGTCGATGGACTTGACGACCCAGAGAGCCCCAACCATGTACCTCAGCACGTCCGCCGTCAGCGCCACGATAGCTGAGCCCATGGCGCCGCTTGCCACCGCCCTGGCCCTGAGCTCCACGCGGCTGGCCACAGAAGCGATGGCCACGTCCGAAAGACGGCACAGCACCACGCCCAGCTGTGGCGCCTGCTTGTGGATTCCCTCGCCGAGCCCCGCAAGCCGGGAGAGGAGGCGGCAGCGCCAGGCTTGGAGCAGACTGAACACGGCCAGGAAGTGCACCAGCAACTCCATCACGGTTATGCGGGCGACGCCCAACCACGGCCTCACGTACGGCCAACGCAACTAATTCCGCCCCGCATGCGGCGAGAAAGCTGGTGAGCTTCTCGGCCAACGGCGCCGCGGGCGCCGCCTCGCGGGCGTGGCGCACCGCCGTGCACCGCGCCCTCCAACGTCTCGGCGCATAGGAGGTCGCACACAGCGGGAGGGACACCAGCGACATCTGACGCGCACCCCCGCCAGCGGGCGGCAGTGCGCTGGGGGCGGCGAGAGCAAGCGCGACGGATGACCTGGCGACCTCCCGAACAGGCTCGAGCCCAAGCGGCCACCTTGAGCCAACTTTGCTACTGATGATGGTGATGATGATGGTGATGATGATTCTGATGCTGATTCTGATGCTGGTGTTGATGATGCTGCTGAATATGATGATGGTGATGATGATGGTGATGATGCTGATGATGTTGATGATGATGGTGATGGCGATGCTGATGATGCTGATGCTGAGGGTTATGATGATGCTGATGACAGTGGTGGTGGTGGTGGTGACGATGGTGATACTTTTCATGCTGCTGGTGATGCCGATGATGCTGATGATACCGACGATGGGGATAGTGCTGTTGTTGATGATGATGCTGATGATAGCGATCATGGTGATGATGATGATGATGACGATGACGATAACGATGACGATGACTCTGCTGCTGCTGACGATGTTGATGGCGATGGTGGTGATGAAGACGATGCTGATGATGATGTTGTTTCTGATGATGCTGATGCTGTTGACGTTAATGCTGATCATGGTGTTGATGCTGATGCTAACGCTGATGATGATGCATGTGATGATGCGGCTGACGATGCTGCTGATCATGATGACGATGGTGATGATGATGCTGATGGTGACGATGGTGATACCCAATGATGATGTTGATGACGATGCTGATGATGCGGGCCCTGATGCAGATGATGATGATGAAGATTATGATGATGCTGGTGATGATGAATCCGATGCTGATTGTGCTGCTGATGATGCTGATGATGATGATGATGATGATGATGATGATAAAGACGATGCTGATTATGATGATGATGATGATGATGATGATGATGATGATGATGATGATGATGATGATGATGCTGATGATGATGATGATGATGATGATGATGCTGCAGTTGATGCTGATACTGCTGCTGACGCTGATGATGATGCAGTCAATGTTGATGATGATGACGATAATGATGATCCTGCTGATGATGATACGGATGATGCTGATGATGATGATGATGTTGATAAGGCTGCTCATGCTGATGATAAGGATGCTGATCAGGATTATGATGATGATGCGAACGATGCTGTTGATGATGATATGGCTGAGTACAGTAAGGAGAATGAAGGCGACGATACTGATTCTGATGATGATGCTGATGATGATGATGCTGCTGATGATGATGATGATCATGATCATGAACATGATGATGCTGATGATGATGGTGATGATGCTGCTGCTGCTGATGCTGATGCTGATGCTGATGATGATGATGATGATGATGATGATGATGATGATGGCGAATATCATTTTATGGTGATCATTTTTCGTACGTTTTAGTATCATGATGCTGACGAGCTGTTAAAGCATCTGATGGGCAAGATGATGATGGTGATGATTATCGTGGTGGTGATGGTTCTGGCTGTGGTGATGTTGGTAATGGTGGTGATGGTGCTGATAATGATGATGATGACAAGGAGGAAGAGGAGGAGGAGGAGGAGGAGGAGGAGGAGGAGGAGGAGGAGGAGGAGCAAGAGGAGGGGAGGCACGCTTGTGTGGACGCTGCGGCGGCCAGGCGTGCGCGTTCAAGGCTAAGCGCTGCCCGTGGCCGCGGCAATACTGAGCGGTCTAGCTCTGCCGACAAGGTGCAGTCGTTCAGGATGGGACGGTCTGGGCCTAGTCAAAACCAACGTGCAAGTCGTCACGTCACGACCCAGCTATACAATGAGGAGGTGGAGGTGGAGTAGGAGGAGGATGAGGAGAATAAGGAGGATGAGGAGGAGGAGGTCTAGGATCTGTGTGCCGAAGGAGCTTGCAGTCCGGCGGCGGCAACCGTCACGGGGGCCTCTTTGAGACGAGGTTTTTCGGGCGCGCGCAGGGGCCAGCGCATTGAAGCCGCTGCTGCCCTTGAGGGCCCCGATCGAACTACAGACGGCTTGGGGGGGCGGCGAGGGTGGAGGAAGGGAGCTCGCAGGCCGAAGGTCTGGGGCCCAAAACGCCTGGCGTTCTCTCCGACCGGAAGGAGGCGCCCGTGCGTGCGCCCTCCGCTGTGGCGCGCGGCAAGTACACCGCCAGCACGCGCGCCGCCCTAAGAGGACTCGGCGCGGTTTACAGCAGGCATGCGGTTGTGACAGTGCCGCTCGAGTGGGGGCGCAAGATCAAAATGGGTCCATAAGGGTGTCCACAATTCGGTCGGTTCGGCTGCGTCGCAGTCAGTTGCGTTCGGTCGGTTCGGTTCGGTCAACTGCTGTGTCGTTGCCACATCGTTGCGTCCTTCTCGGCCGCCTCTAGCAGAGTCTGTCTTGGTCGGTTCGGCCAGTTTCCGTTGGCGCTGTCTTTGCGGACGGCCTGGATCCGGAGGCTGGACTCTGGAGGTGCGTCTGGTCCCCTGGCGCACGGCGACGTCATTCTGGAATTTCTGTGGGCTTCTCCTCGCACTGGCTGGACGCGGCTCGGCAAACCGGGCCAGGACGGGCCCTGGAAGGGGTACGGGGACGCGTTTCGAGAGGATCTCGGTCTGGGGCGAGGTGTCCGAGGCGGGGAGTCATCCAGAAGCCCCGCCTGGGGGATCGACCTTCGGGGACCTCGGCGGGCGGTGGACTTGGATATATTTGGGCCCCAAGGGGCCCCATCTGTGGTCGTCTTCGTTTTCGCAAGCACACGTGGCGTGCCTGCTCTTCCAAGGAGTCGCCGCATCGACGTCTTCCGAGGACGCCCTCGCTCAAGTCCTGAGAGGGGCGGCGGGCGCCCGAGGCTCAGAGCTTCGCACTCGCCCGCCATGCACACCCTGCGCTGCTCCCGCGGGATGGCGTGTCGCCGCGCTCCTGCTTCGGGGGCGACGGACGACGACAGGAAGCTCTGGGCCTGCCGCTGGCGCCGCTCTCCTCTCCGCCTTCCGAGATTTGGCGGGCGGCGCCCGGCGGTGGCAGTGCTGGGCCCGCCCAGGTGTCTTCGGTGGCCCTCGGCCAGGCCCAGCTCGAGCGGCCGGCGAGCGGGGAGGCGCAGCCCGTCCTCGGCCAGCAGGCGCGGCCATCGTCGGCGAGGGGCCACGCCTATGGGGTCGACGGCGGCGCGGCTCCCAGGGCGAGTGCCGCCTGCGGGTGCGCCCCGGCCTCCTGCCCGCGCGAGCTCGCGGTGGCTGCCCTCGTTCTTCCTCCCGCCCTGGGCCTGTCGACGACGACGAGCGCAGCCGAGGAGACGCTCTGTGTCCGGAACTTCCTTTCCACACCGGTGGGCCTGGACGCGGTCGACACCGATATGGATAGCAGCATCAGCCAGCTCCGGGGCAGCGTGGCCGAGGCCAACAGCACTGACGTGGCGGACGTCGTGCTCGGGTACGGGGCCGCGATCCTGCCGGGCACGGCCAGCAGCCTGCGCGCGGCGGGGCTGCGCGGCGGCAGTGCCGTCGCGGCGACGCGGCGCGTGCGCGGCGGGGTGGAGGATGCGCCAGGTCGTGACTTGGCCGGTGGCGCCGATGTGGAGCCCGGCCCTGGCGGGGACCTCGGCGGCGTGGCGGGCGTCAGGGCGGGGCCGGGGAAGCTCATCCGCGCGTGCTTCATTCGGGTGTTGGTAGAAGTGCCCCTGGGCCAAGCAGCCCCTGGGAATCTCGGGGTAGCCCAGACGGCTTCCAAAGCACCCCTCACGAGGCCCAGAGGGACCCCAGGGGTTCCAAAATGAAGCGAAAAGCTGGGGGCACCTTGGGCCAGGGGTACTTCTAGCAACACCCGATTCATGAGAGCGGCTGTTGGCACGGGACGCATCAGGGCTCGACTCTGACGGGCCGCGGGTCCTGGTCACCAAGCCAACGCCCGCCTCGGATGCCGAAATCGACGCGTTGGCGGGGGCCTGCGGACCAGTGCAAGCCTATGCCGAGCAGCAGTCGCTGATGTCAGCAGCGGCCTTGATGGCGGTCCTTGGAGAGGTGGCGCCGCCAGCCCGCATCGCGTGGATCGAGGCGGCCTTGCCATCGCTGGTCCAGGCGGCTCGCGATTTCCCAGCGTCCCTCTGGTCGCACGCCATGGTTGCGGGGGCCGGCGCGGGAGCAGGGAGGGGGCAGCTAGCGAGCACTCCGCCGCGGCGGGTGCCCCTCCGGCGAGCGCGGGCGGGCTCAGCTCCCGGCCTGGCCTAATCAAGCGGCCGCCGCTGGCACTGCCACCAGCGCGGCTTCGCCGCGAGAGCACGCCGCCGCCGCCGTCCCTGGCGCGGCAGAGGGCCGTGCAAGAGGCGCGTCGGCTGCCCAGGGAGGAGCTCCAGCGCTGGCTGGACCTCGCGCAGCCGGGAGTCGGTTTTGCGGCGCGTGGTGGCGAGGCATAATCCAGAGTCAGTCGGCTAGGATAGGGGCGGCGCCAATTACCCTGCGGGCCCGTCGACGCAGTGGTAATTGTCTTGGCCGGCGACGGGATTGGTTGCCCCGCCGTTGGAGGCCAAGGCTATGCGCGCGCAGGTGCCGGCGCGGCGCCTGCTGGGCGCGGCGTCGCTCATAGCTGCGTCGCTCGGCTGCCCCGGGCGCCGGCCTGCCCGCCCGGCGCTCGTCGGCAGGGCCTGCAGCGGGGACTCAGGGCATTCCCCGCCGCTGCTGACAATTGCCCGCCGGGTTTCCCGCCCCGCGAGGGCCTGGGCGAGGTCCGCCGGAGTGACCTGTTCCCTTTGCCCGCCCTGGAACGGCAGCCCGATCGAGTTTGCCAAGATCCTGAGAGTCGCTGCGCGGCCCGCCGCCGTCTCAGGGCTGCCCATGCCGATAGGCGTCCCAGG